ATCAGAAAACACGCACACTTCATCCAAGGCGGCTGTGTGTACCTGTTTCTTTTCACCACTGACCTGCGTGACGGCTTCACCGCAGGCATCCGCTACGTGGCTATGCTCTAATCAGCAATGTCATGAGCCAGCCCCAGCTCTGCCTTCAACCAGGACTGGAAAAATAGGTCAGGGAAACAGCACCATAATCTGATTTAACTGCTATTCAAATCATCACAGTCTCTCCATTAATTTGAATGGGATTCGGATTTGGCCCAAATTCCTGACAACAAAACGGGAGGTTTATTTTAATATCTTCACCGTTTCATTTAAAATCTTCCATTCGAAGAACAGAAAATAAGACTTCCCACGTGTCTTCAGGTGGCTACAGAGCGACTTTAATTTTTATGTAAACCAGTTCCAAACAGACAGACTGTCTGCACTGCCGCTGGAAACTGGAGTCCCAGCCTGACATGAGGCCACCCCCTCCTCACAGCTGATGGATGCCACAAAGTAGAGGAACAGCTCAAGAGTAAGAGAATGCATCACCCACGTGTCTGAGCAGAGGACCTCCAGGATTTGCTTCTCAGAGTGCTGTGGAGAGTCTGTAGTTTCATAACATGTCACCCAGCTAGAAACCTTAAAGGCCAAATGAAGAAGAGAAAGACTATCTGGAATTAACTTCTCAAACATCACAGCTCCTAGGAGAAATATTATTTGTTTGATGAAAGCAAAAAATAACTCCATTTTCTGTAAAAAAGAAAAAAAAAAGAAAAAAAAGGAAAAAAAAAGAAAAAAAAGAAAAAAGTAAAAAAAGAAAAAAAAAAGAAAAAAGAAAAAAGCAAAAAAAGAAAAAGAAAAAAGAAAAAAGAAAAAAAGAAAAAAGAAAAAAGGAAAAAAAAGAAAAACAGAAAAAAAAAGAAAAAAAAAGAAAAAATGTCTGCCAAAGAGGCTTGTTTTGGCAAATAATGAATGCCTGAAGAAATATTGTTTGTATTGTGCAATGAACTTGTAATTAATATTTGTTTGCTCACCATTTAATAGCAGTTCAGCACTAAGTGATGGGATTTTGCTGCCATTTGTGAATGTACAGATTTTGAATATGGAATTGCTCCCAGGGGGTCATATCATAAAGCCATTTAAACGAACAAAGCAAATTACAAGTACCTACAAATGTAGAAAATGAGAAAGCTGCACGCATTATTTTACATAAGTATTGTTAAGTGCCTCAGTTTACTTGTGCGGTATTTTCCTGCTTGACTGCACAGAGGTAAACCAAAAGAGGCTGTCTAGGTGAGGAGAACGAAAGCACCAGAAATATGAAGCTCCTTTAGATGTGATGAGGGGGTCTTAAATGGAGGAGGCCCCTGTTTCTTTCCAGCCAGCCTGACAACGTTTGTACCTCTGACGCCTACACGGATATCTACGGGGAGTCTGAAATCCCGAAGAAATTACGAGACTGGCCAAAAGGAGAAATGTCAGGCAGCGGTCGGCGTGCTGTCCAGAACGCAGACGCTGACCTGCATTAATCCCAGTTACGTACAGGCACCTGCGGCAGAAACGCACTCTGCCTGGCTGAGAGGGAAGCCACTTCCAGAGGGCGACTCGGAGACAAACAGGCTCCTGAGATGGCAGAGATCCCCACAGGGATCCATCCATGCCTTCCACCCCGCTCCAGACACGGAGCAGCGGCGGCAGCGCGTGCAGACGAGGTGAAGCCAGCTCTACGTGGCAGCTACACCCAAGGTGAGCTGCTGGAGTCAGCAGGCGGGCACGGCGGTGGGCGCACCGCAGCCTTTGCTGCTGTGGTTCCATTGCTGTCAGGGCTCTACGTAAGTCACTGGCAAAGCCAGACTTTGCAGAGATGGAAGTCAGGGAGGGTGCCATACCTTGCAGAACAAGATTCAGGTATAGCTTGTGTCCAGTTCTGGGCTCCCCAGTTCAAGAAAGATGAGGAGCTACTGGAGAGAGTCCAGCAGAGGGCTGTGAGGATGAGGAGGGGACTGGAGCATCTCTGCTACGAGGAGAGGCTGAGGGAGCTGGGCTTGTTCAGCCTGGAGAAGAGAAGGCTGAGAGGGGACCTTAGAAATGCCTCTAAATATCTGCAGGGTGGGGGTCAGGAGGATGGGGCCAGACTCTTTCCAGTGGTGCCCAGCGACAGGACAAGGGGCAACGGGCACCAACTGAAGCAGAGGAAGCTCCAGCTGAAGATGAGGAAGAACTTCTTCCCTCTGAGGGTGACGGAGCCCTGGCCCAGGCTGCCCAGGGAGGCTGTGGAGTCTCCTTCTCTGGAGATATTCCAGCCCCGCCTGGACACGGTGCTGTGCCCCCTGCTCTGGGTGACCCTGCTTGGGCAGGGGGTTGGGCTGGGTGACCCACAGAGGGCCCTGCCAACCCCAAACATTCTGTGATAGCTAACACACACGAGTATGGACATTGTACTGCTTTAATTCTTTGTGTGAAATACTACAGACTTCTTGGCAGAGGAGTGATGAACACTGTTTTGTTTCGAAAAAGCTGTCCCTTTAATTTGCTGCTACGCAGGCACTCAAAATAAAGGCTTTAGCAGACACCAAACTCAGCTGGGCCCTGCTTGTCAGTATGCTTGGGAGACGGTGGCCAAGCTGCCTCTCAGGAAGTCAGTCCTAGAATGATAGGATTGTGCCACTAACTCGGAGCAAGGCACAGGAGCCGTGCCTGTGGCCCAGGAGGGACAAACGGAGGCTAGCAGCCAGCCTGCTCTGTAACCACGTCTGACGCGCAAGAGCTGAGGGTACAGGGACTGTGACAGCGTTTAATTCTGCACATTTTCCAGCCCCTACAGAAATATGCTATACACACCTTATTTTCCAAAATCATTCTTAATTTGGCACTTGTTTTCTCAGAGCTATGAGTGAGAAGAGGGAAGAGATGTTCTTTACCACAAGACCTTTGTGGTATTACATGGGCTTGCTTCCTGCATTTTGATATTTCTATCTGCAACCTCCAGTTCCCCTGGACCACAGATTCCTATCAGCCCTCAAAATCTGCCAGAGATGACTGTGCTGTCACCTACAGTCATTACAAAGGAGAGGTTTCACAGTGATACACTGCTGCAGCTCACTTACCCTGGCTTCCCAGATCACCTGTCTCCAGCTGGGGCTGGGGAACAACAGCTTTATATCACTCTGATTTAGGGCTGTGTTAAATGTATTTGGAAGACATTTGACTATTTAGTTAGAAGCCAGACTTTCCACTTCTAGATGAAAACTTGATCTCTCTTAAGACCCCACGCAGAAAGCTTGGATGGGTGGAGGGAGCTCCCCACTAGGAAACAACACGGACATTTTAAACTTCTCTGTAAGCCCTGAGCGGGAGAGGAACATACAGACCATGCTGAACTGCAGCAGAGGACAAAGCCTGTAAATGGGGCAGGCTGTTGCTGAAGGAGGAGGTACTGGCCTGTGAAAAAGCCAGAAAAAACTCAGAACATAAGACATACCTCTGACAAGGTGGTCTTACACACAGCTGCCTACTTAATTTTTAGTTCTGACAGAAACGAGATTGCTTGGTGGTTATTTCCCATGCTATGTGTATGAAACAGAAAATGTAGTGAACTATGGCTTAGGGCTGCTGAGGAAGGGTTGGTGTTTTGTTAGTATTAAGTATGATTGCATAAACAGGTCTGAAACTGAAGGCTGTGCTAGGAAAAGAGTAAAACAAAGTGAAATAAAAACAAAAATACTGCCATGAGCTGCACAGCAAGACAGAAAGTGTTATGTTCAAAAAGTTGAGGAAATCAGCTTCCTCCACTTCTTCCAATTCTTTAGAACTGACTATAACACTGAATTAAAGTTATTCTACTTAACAAAAGTACAGAACATTGCTGCTTCTCCAAGCACAGCATTTGCAGTGCCATCATCATTGCTGAAACACAACATTAATGATAAGCTAAGCCCCTGTTACAGGTCTTTCAGCTGCTCTTAAACCTCATCTGTTTTCAGGAGCAATCTGCTCATCTTTGACACCCCAAAATGGCAGAAATCAGTGTGTTATTATGCTGTAAGAACAACTGGAAAGCAAAGTCTTGATAAGAAAACTATAACCTTCCTTTATGTCCACAACTTTGCCTTCCACAAAATGTAATTTAAAGAGAGAATTTAAGAACTTTATCTTGGAAATGCTCCTCCCTCCAGGCAGATTTAGCTCACATTGCTAGATTCTGCCACTGAGGAAATATTAGGAAAAAAATAAAGGAACAATAGGAAGACCCAACATTGACTGCAATGGTAGAAAAGTGTTTACATCTGAGAAATAGACCTGTAAGGGCCACACAGGGAGAAATATATTTATACTTAATAATTACGAATGCAAAAAGCAAACCAGAGAACTGTAGCAAAACACTTGCTGTAAATAACTTCCAAAATTTTTGAGAAAGATGGTTGAAATGGGGAATAAAGTGCATGGTTAGGGAAGCAGTAATGGATATTCAGAAAATAACACAAAGTTTCAAAAGGTTTTTAAAATCTGTGAGTGTAGCTCTCCTTTCACTCCTACTCAGGCAATCTTGCCTCAGTCTGGCACCTGGGTTAGTCGGGCCCAAACTTTATCCCGGGATAGACAGGGATAAGGCAAGGAAGTCAGTAAAAGAGTGTGTGAGGCTAAATCTTGACCAGAAAGGTTAATACTTCCACCACTTTTTTAAGTTACAGAACTGCAGATTTTCACTTCTGTGATTTGTGATTCATCTTATAAAGCATAAATTTACATTTCACCGTATGTACTTTGTTCTCCCACAATGAACCTACAAGGTTTTTTATAGCTTTTCATTATGCTAACAGTATGCTTCCAGAAGAAAATTGATTTACCTTTTTCTTCCACGAATTAGAGAAAATCACAACTCTGCTGTTCACCTAAATGAAGGTGAGTTTTTATTCAGCAAAATGAGTGTGTTGACCTACCCAGGCCTGGGCTCCAGACAAGAACAGAGTAGAATACATACAAAATGACACAAAAATCCCCTCTGGAACTGTATTTTGTACCTGAGGTAGCACTGCTGGTCCTTGTCCTGCCAACCTCTGCAAGGAGCTGACCTGAGGAACCTTAATGGGCACTGCAGTGATAGTTCCCAAAGTCTGTTGGAAGAAAAACAGTTGAACACAGCTTAAAACACTTGCACAGCTTCCCCACACCCTTACGAATACATTTGGGACACTAAGAGTAAGCAAATTATGTTTCTGTAATACAAAGTCAAGTACACACAAGTTTCCCCCCTGCCTAAAAATGTCTGTTTCTGTTTAGTGCTGACTTTTCACCTCTCTGCCTCTTTTTCAAGCCTCACCCACAGAGGCTCTTAAAATACTAGATCTCGGATGTAAATAACGTGTACTTCATTTTCTCCATTAAAAAGGACAGACAGCTTATAAATTTAAGATCGGGCCATAGGTCTAAAGAACACAGCAAAGTTTTCCCCTGCAGCCTCTTTCATTCCTTCATCCCCGATGACAGTTCCTATTTTGGTTCGCTGGCCAACGTTCTCAAGGCAAGGTTTTATAACTTCCATGTGACATTTCTTAATTGCTGTTGGGACGACACGGCAATATAAGCAAACAGATGATTGTCACTGTAACAGCCAGACACACTTTGTCACTGATCACAAAAACTTCTCAGGCTGCTAGAAACAGCTAACACGGAAAGAAAAACGGGTTCAGCTGAATTTCTCTAACTCCCCTCAAAACAAAAGTATCAGATCACAGCCAGTAAGATAAAGTATGCCAATATTACCCCAGTCTGGTAACAAAATTTGTCAATAGAAGGGAAACTATAATGTAATCAGCTCAAGGAGAAACTGTGTCAAGTCCATGCCGATATGTTCTCCTCAGACCTCAGCAACAGAGTGGTGAAACAGTCTGTTTCATTCGAACTACGGTGTCTGATAAGAATATCATGCATTTTCATGTAGAGTATTTTTAATAAACTTGTCCTACAGAGTTTATATTTTTAACTCTGCTACTCCTCTGGAGACATATGGGGGTGTGATGTTATATACTTAGCAAAGATTAAAATTTGCATAAGATTTGCCTGAGCTAAACAACAAGGAGAGCTGTACAGTTATAAACACGCAAGGCAATTTTTCCTCAGTACTCGTGGATTATCACACCCTGGATTATCCATGGAAAAATACACTCCATTAAAATTCTGTCTTGAGCCAAGGGCGGGGAGGCAGGAAGAAAGCAGCATTTCCACTCATGGATGCCAGAACAAGCAAGTTCATAGACTCCTAGCATGATCTGGGTTGGAAGGGACCTTAAAGCTCATCTGGTTCCAACCCCCTGCCATGAGCAGGGACCCCTTCCACCAGCCCAGGGTGCTCAGAGCTCCATCCAACCTGGCCTTGAACCCTGCCGGGGAGGGGGCAGCCACAGCTTCCCTGGGCAGCCTGGGCCAGGGCCTCACCACCCTCATGGGGAAGAATTTCTTTCTTATGTCTACTCTAAATCTACCCTCTTTCAGCTTGAAGCCATTACCCTCGTCCTATCACTACATGGTCTTGTAAAAACTCCCTCTCCAGCTTTCTTGTAGGCCCCCTTTAAGTACTGAAATGCTGCAATAAGGCCTCCCTGGAGCCTTTTCTCCTCCAGGCTGAACAGCCCCAGCTCTCTCAGCCTGTCCTCACAGGAGAGGTGCTCCAGCCCTCGGATCATTTTTGTGGCCTCCTCTGGACCTGCTCCAACAGGTCCATGTCCTTCCTGTGCTGGGGGCTCCAGAGCTGGACGCAGGACTCCAGGTGGAGTCTCAGAAGAGCAGAGCAGAGGGGCAGAATCCCCTCCCTCGATCTGCTGGCCATGCTGCTTTTGATGCAGCCCAGGAGCTGTATCTTCCTGCAGAAGTAAAGGTAATGGCAGCAGTGAGAGGAACAGAAGGAGGTATTTCCACTGCAGTTGTCCTTATAGGGTGACACATGGAATAAAAAAAAAAATGGGAAGGATACTAAAAACTATCTTCATGAATTACTTTTTTGGCCTATCTATAATATAACAGCTCACACATCGAGAAGGATAACGTGACGAATTTTTTTTGGAGAGGAGGAGAACTTGAGCTGGCAGCTGCTGCTATTGCCACTTCTTAGACATATCCCAACTTCTGGCTTTACATTAGGATGAACTAAAATTAATTCAGCCTGGTTATTTGCTTTTTAAGGTGAATACCAAAGTGAGCTTTCCAACCCATACTAGAGGAACTGAAAGTTTACCACAACTATGATCTACATTTTTCCTCCATCCCAACACCGCTTATATATGGAATGGGAATTCTTTCACAATGCAGTGAAGCCTGAGTTTTCCCTGGAAACATCAGGAGCACCACAACTTGTCCTGGGCTGCACATATTTCCCCTACAGAAGGTTAAAACAAGTTCTTTCTTCTGGAAGGTCGTGCTTAAAGTGTGGCTGCACCTCTTGTCATTTTGATATACCCTACCTCTGACCTTGAAAACACACATTCTAATACTCCTGTCCCTACCGACACCAAGTGAAATTGGGAACTGATTACAAAGATAAGAATCGAATCACTCAGAAGTTAGATAAGATACAGTTATCAATTGGTAGGATGCACAAAAACTCCATGTCTGAGCAACAAATCTCTTTTCTTGTTCTACTTCAAATGCCAATCACAAGAAAAGAAGACAAGCAGCTAGCCCGGCCTAGAACAGAATGCCTCTGTCCGGCGAGCAAGAAGCTCATCTCCGTCCCTGGGTGCATCGCTGGGCCGATTCCCTTCAAAACACTGAACCATTGAGCCAAAAGGAATGGGAACAAGAGAAGAAACAAGAAACCGTACAAAACTGCTCTGCACTGGTCTCTTGGCTTCACTTCAAGGCAAAGCCAGGAGGTGCTGTCTGTGGGTACCACAGAACTGAACCATCACCGGTTCTGTCACTGCAGTCTCAAAAAATTAGTCAGATTTATTTTCCTGAAGTAGCAGTGCTCCAGCTGAGAGAACAAAAACAAATTATAGCATTCTTAGGTTATAAAATTCTCAGTGACAAAGATGCAGCCTCCTATTTACAAATGGCTTTATAGTGAGGATCTGTTATTTAATATTCAAGAAAACAATCTCCGTATAAAATTCATATGGCCAAAAGAAAATTCAGAACTTTAATCGCACATTACTAACAGCACTATAGTATGTTCAGAGACAGAGATATCTAGGAATCTGTTTTACTTTTCACTATGTACACTGTCTTGTTATTGTTTCCGAGCTTGAGCAATAAATAGTTCAAGTCTTTATATCAGCAGAATTCAATGACAAACGTCTGTACTTTTCCTGTAACACATCTCATCTGTTATCTCAGCGTACTTCACCTAGGTCGGTATTATCGTGCCTGTTTTAGTGATGAAAAAAATCGAGATTTTGAGAAGTAAAACAATGTTGTGAGGGCTACTCCGTTGTGCAGGTGGAAATGCGAGCCAGACTTCTTACTTCCAGTGTCTCACCCATCTGTCGATGTAGAGTCACATCTGAGTCGCCTCATTTTTAGGTCAGATTTTAATGATCAGACCAGGACGTCTCCATGATGATGGGCAAAAGAGCTGAAGTATAAAACAGAGGGAACTGCAGCTGTAGTCTCTGCAATGAAGGTGCAGGTGCTCGAATGGATGGCTGGGCACTTTGGCTCTGGGTACATCTTTCAGCACATTTCAGAGTACGGCTTTGTTCCAGTTTAAGTGGTAAATAAAACAGCAGATAAAACCACTTGCCTGGCAAATATAAACATCCTTATCTGATGTTCTTGGCCAGGCAATGAGAACTGGACACACTCCCCATGGCTCAAGCCATAAGAGGACGAATACTGCTCACACTCACCTTAACACTTCAGTCCTAGCTGCGTCTGCAGCTCAAGCCCACGGTCTGCAAAAGCTGAGCGATCAAGATGCCTCCCACTCAAGAAAGGAAATAAACTTTTTTTCCTCCTGTTAACAGTGCTGCCTGTTTGCACTCACAAACTGTCCAGGCTTGCCACGGTGAGCCTGGTGGATCAAAGACTCGTCACTTACTAATTCCACACTATCATTTTAATCGATGTGGGGCTTTTTTTTTTTCCTCCTTCCTTTTTCCCATTTTGTCCAAAGAGCAAGCTGGTGCACATTCTTATAAACCCTTAATTAACAAGCTGAAAAGACATTTTTCTGGCAATGCCTGACCTTTAAGCACTTTGTATGAATTTATCGATACCAGCAGAAACAATAATTTAAAAGGTTATTTTATGACTGCCGAATAGTTTATGGCAGCACTTTTGTCAAGATAAATGAGTTTCTTATTTCTACATTTACAGCTCTAAGCATTTTAATAAAAAAGGTCCATAAAAGTCAAAGATATCTCCAAATCTCTCCTCTATCTAAGTCTACTTGGGCTTTTCTGGTGACCCCCTGAAACACCTACAGCGAAGATGGAGCACTGAAATGGGCAGCAATGGGGGAAAGTGAAGAGCCAAATTTCAGTCCGCCTCAGAATTGTTTTGATTTGATTGTATGCATTTAAGCCAGATTTACTATCTTTATACTGAGATTTTTTTTCAAATTAAAACAAATTCATTGGGTGTACTTCCTACTGTCTAATTCACAAAACTTTACATCCAGCAGCATTTATTATCCCAGACAAGCATCTGGGAGCTTATGACCCCTTGCTACCTCCTACCTTCAGCACCAGCCCCGGCCCTGGACTGGAACAGGAACCTCAGCCACTGCAGGAGTTAATGGCTAATGAACGCATATGGCTGCAACACAGACAACTTCCAGACCCCTGTCTTCAGCGACCTATACAGAGCAGACAAGTATCTGGCATGTCAGGGACACCTTTTTTCCTTGAGCAACCCACAAATGCCCTCGGACAGGAACACAGCAGGCCCACTGCGTAGGTGACCTGCAATCTCAGTTATTCAGTAAATGTCATCCAGTAGCATGCTCCCCAGGGTCACACTTTGAATTGCAAAAACCGGTGACGAGATGCAGATGAAATAATCTTTTCCAGTGGCCAGTTTACTCACTAAGAAAATAATAATGATAAGAATTCCAAAAAAAAGAAAACCCAACCCAGCAGCCCCAAAACAGAAGGACACACATGTAAGCAAAAGAAAA